TAAAGCCATTTTTTTTTTGCTTCCGATGGTCCTGGCAACTTAGTCGCATTCACCTGTCATCTAGTTCACAATCCTCCCCAATCTTTTGAACAGGAGTAGAGGTTTATCCCTTGTTTCCAGTTTAGGATTGGATTTCCAGTTCCTTCTAAAGCCATTTTCTTTTTTTGCTTCCGATGGTCCCTGGCAACTTAGTCGCATTCACCTGTCATCTAGTTCACAATCCTCCCTAATCTTTTTTTGAACAGGAGTAGAGGTTTATCTCTTGTTTCCAGTTTTAGGATGGATTTCCAGTTCCTTCTAAAGCCATTTTCTTTGCTTCCGATGGTCCTGGCAACTTAGTCGCATTCACCTGTCATCTAGTTCACAATCCTCCCCAATCTTTTGAACAGGAGTAGAGGTTTATCTGATGGCACTTGTTTCCAGTTTAGGATTGATTTCCAGTTCCCTTCTAAAGCCATATTTTCTTTTTTTTTGCTTCCGATGGTCCCTGGCAACTTAGTCGCATTCACCTGTCATCTAGTTCACAATCCTCCCCAATCTTTTGAACAGGAGTAGAGGTTTATCTCTTGTTTCCAGTTTAGGATTGGATTTCCAGTTCCTTCTAAAGCCATTTTCTTTTTTGCTTCCGATGGTCCCCTGGCAACTTAGTCGCATTCACCTGTCATCTAGTTCACAATCCTCCCCAATCTTTTGAACAGGAGTAGAGGTTTATCTCTTGTTTCCAGTTTAGGATTGGATTTCCAGTTCCTTCTAAAGCCATTTTCTTTTGCTTCCGATGGTCCCTGGCAACTTAGTCGCATTCACCTGTCATCTAGTTCACAATCCTCCCCAATCTTTTGAACAGGAGTAGAGGTTTATCTCTTGTTTCCAGTTTAGGATTGGATTTCCAGTTCCTTCTAAAGCCATTTTCTTTTGCTTCCGATGGTCCCTGGCAACTTAGTCGCATTCACCTGTCATCTAGTTCACAATCCTCCCCAATCTTTTGAACAGGAGTAGAGGTTTATCCCTTGTTTCCAGTTTAGGATTGGATTTCAGGTTCCTTCCAAACTTTTTTATTTTCTTTTACTTTTACTGGCCTCTGGCAACCTCATGGCATTCACTTTCCATCCAGTTCACTCTACTCTCCCGTTTTTTGAACAAGAGCAGAGGTTTATCTCTTGTTTCCTGTTTAACATTTGCTTTTCGGTTTCTTCTACATCATTTTCTGTCAAACTTCCAGTGGCCCCATTTTCTTTTGCGAGATTATCTCTTTGTTTAGGGGAGGTGCCTTGGCATTCACTTTCCATCATAACCCTGTTTTTTTTCTACCTTAAATGACTCTTCACCTTTATATAGGTGAACATGACTGTGAAAAAAAAAAGTTCTGCTTATATTACCAATAGATTGCTTCAACCTTCAGTGGGTGGTGTCATCTTTAACGATTCTATTTTGTGACACTTGGCCATTGTATTTCATCTTTGCTCTGCTTTAGGTAAGGATGAAAATTCTTGTCCCAAATTCCATATGATGTGCTCTTGAAAATAAATGCTTCTGCACTAATATCCTTATCACATCATGATTTTCATATCACGTCACTGTACACCAGTGTGTAGGTTGATGCAGAATGTTGGTTTTCACATAAAAAAGAATGTGTTCTGACCAAACATTATTTTGAAAGATTTGTTTTCTGTTTTATAAATACAAATTGTGTGACTGATTTCATAGATTGCGATATGTTTGAACTAAGAGAACGAGTAAGACACCTTCTTTGTAGTAGGCAGTTGTGGTGATTAGTTCTTTGATGATTTGAGGAATGTATCAGCCTACTCTGCTTTCTGGCAAAAAGTAAGAAAAAATGACCTCTATCCCCTATTTTTCCTGTGGTTATATTGACGTTGGTAACTGATCGTCGAGTGTGGTGAGTGCCAGTAGGATTGCCCTTCGGTTTGGTACAGGCTCCTTGACATTTTGCTTTGCTTATACAAGTATCTGATTTCAGAAATCAGCTGATCGACCTGTCCATGATAATGCTGGTATTAATGTTAATGATGTATGAAGGAGATGATAAGTAGGGGCTAATTTTTAGGAGATTTTAAAAATATTTATATTTTACTTTAATAAAATTTGGCTACTAATAGAAGGTTTTAAAGAAGTCATGAAGGATCTAGTCTTTCATATATATATATCATATACAGTGTATATGTAATTCATTCATAAATATCTAAACTATCAACTATATTCAAAATGACTTCAAGCGAGTTAATCTTGTAGGTCTTAAAGAAGTCATCTTCTTAAATTGATCCATTAGATTTTGACTTTCATATGGATGCCATATACTCATTCAGAAATATCTAAACTAGGAGTTGGCAGCCTTTTGGGGAGAGGAGGCCAGAAAGCTATGCAGTGTCTCGGAGGAAGGACATGGTATCAAATGTACTATAATACATTGTCTTGACCTTAGACTGTTCCGTCCAAAGGCTTCCTTGGTCTGGAGATTTAAAGAAAAAAACAAAAAAAAGTTAATGTTATATTATTTAAACAAGGTTCCTTATTTTACTGCAGGAATAACAGGATAACTAACACAAACAACAAAAATGCTAATTCTTTACTATAAACGAAATATAGTTAGAAATGGTGAATTATTTAATGAGACATTTGTTTTTAGTTCGATAACTTCTCCACATCAGGTGAAATATTTATAGATGATAGGATCAAAACATTATCCAGGTGGTCATCACCCAACCTTGTTCTTAAACGACTTGATGAAAAAAAGTTGTTCACAAGCATATGTACTTCCAAATAATGATACCATCATTTTCCCATCATTCAATGGACTTTTATTTTTTCCGCTTAGCAAAAAATATTTATTGTAGAAGCTAGCATTTGATTCGAAATTAAATTTTGATTTAAAAAATTTGTCATTATAATTCGATTAAGTGCAACTGATATTTTTCTGTCACTTACTCCACAAATGAATGAGATAATTAGTATCCAGGTGTTAAGTTGGCGAGCCGGACAAAAATCCTTCCTGGGCGAGATGTGGCCCGGAGACCAGGGGTTGCTGACCCCTGATCTAAACTATCAGCTATATTTAACTGTTTTCTCTGATCAAGGTCTTAAGGGAGACTATACTTCATCATACTTCATCAACTTACACTACAGAATCATGACTAACGAGTTTTACTAACAGCAGCCACAAAACTCAAAAGGGTAGAATATGAAACTCAAAGGTGAAATGATAACATAATGAAGCTGTTAACTTTCTACACTACATTAAGCAAAGGGTTAGGAAGAAAACCTCCATCAATATTAGAAAGAGCTATAACATTTAGTGATTTTGAGATTTCAACTAGCAGTAACACTGTTCTGTCAATGAATACCAAATGTCTCCTGGATGAGCAAAAATGTAGTTAGTTATTCAATTTTTTTTTTATTTAAAAGCGCTCATAAATATTCACCAGGTTAGTTGAAAGGTAAGTTATGGAGGACGCTAAGTGATATAATTTAATGTCAAATAAATGAAAGTGAGTAAAAGATGTTCTGGAATTATTATACAAATTAATATTTAAATATTAATGTTTTGGTTTAGGATTAATTCATATTTTATATATTTTAAATAACGAATTACGAACTTGGCCCTTTTCTTTTAATTTTTTAACATTTTTATGATCATGACTTGGGAAATTAGTAATTCTTTCGGGAATGAAGATTATTATTTTGTTTTGTAAAGAAAGAAAATGTATAAATTCACTTTCATATGTTTAGGTTTTATTACAATTCTAATCATTTTAAAAACAATAAACATTGCCAAGGAGTGATGGTAGTTTAAATAATAGTGATGTCAAGGGATAAAAAGTGTCCTTTTGACATACCATTTTCTGTAGGCATGAAGATTAAAGATTTCCATAACATGTATATTTGCGAGTATATAAAATATCTGATTATAATTCTACTTATTCTTGTGCTAGTAATTTGCTACATGTATTATCGCCTGTCATTGCCTTAGATAAATAATTGACCACTCTATTTCGATTGTGAGTAAAGACTGGAATAAATTCATATATCAGACAAAGCGTTTGGTTTTAGTGAGAAAAAGAAAGCGTACATAATAAGAAAGAAGACAGAGGAGACAATAATGCTCTCATGCATTTAAAATCTGCTTCAGTGAAATGGAAAAACTTGTAAATTTCAAATATTTTCATTTGTACCCTTTTACTTCTTTTGATATTTACATGCATTCATACTTATGATTATTATTGCAATATTTTATTAAAGTTGTTTAGCTCTAATTTAAACCATGCAATAGGATAATTCCCATGGGTATTTTGTATTCGTGGAACTGCCAATGATCTTATTTTTTCATGAAATATTATGCTTCATCAGAAAAGTTAAATAGGAAAACTGATATTTTCGTGGGTATTTTATAGTCGTGGATCTCGCAAACATCAAATTAAGAATTGTTGTAACCTAGAGAAGGTTACTGAATAGAATAATCACACGAAGTTTGATAATGAACGATGATACTTAGGACAAGAACAACACATATAAGATTCGCCAGCTGCGCGTAGAAAAAAATAGTCAACTGCTAGAAGTGAGTCAAGTGAATTCCACAATGAATATCTAACTGCAGGATATCTACCAACCGCCCATGCGGTCAGATGAGGCTCAAGGCCGAATTTAATGTGGGGTATCCGAAACCGTAGGCTCGGCCAAAAATTCCCCGTAGACCCCGTATAATACGGGGTGGGGTAGCTGTTTCCCGAGACGAGACTCTACCCCTCGACACAGCCTCGTCTGGAGATCCTCTCTGTCCGGTGGCAGAGAGTTTGACCAGCACAACTGGAGACGAAGCTCCAACTGCAGACCACCATATTATTTACTACTGTATTTATGTGAATGGGGACATACTCATTATCGTCCGTTGGTATGCGACAACAAAAGTTATGATTCATCAGAAAATTTTAAAAAATATTGATGTCCATTTTATTTCATAATATTATTATGGTTTATTTTTTTTCCAGGTATGTACATGTCGAATGTCACTTGCCAGAAGACGGGGTCAAACAACCTTCTTTTGAATAATAAAACAAAATTGTATGAGAATGTCATTTATACGTCTACTGATCTTGACAAAAAGCAGTGTTTCATCAACGTATCATGAGAAATTTCCTTGAAACTTGGTCAAATACAATCATTTTAGTATGAAGAAACTGTATTTTCCAACAAAAGAAAACTTTTTTTCAGCATATAATAAATCGTCAATAAATGTGTATTTTTTAAACATGGAAATGTAAAAATGAAATAAAATTATGCTTAAATAAAAGTTCATTTTACAATGTTTACATTTCATTCAGTTATACATACTTAGGCTATCATGTATCTTTCGATACATGAATGAGGCAAACTTTTTCCGTAGTAAATTGCCATTTCTTTCTGGAGTAGACCAGATACCATCCAAGGCTATAAAACCTAAATTCAGGTAGCATCCGAAACGAAAAAATATAATGCGATTTGAAATACGTTTTTTGTTGTTTTATTTTTAAAATGTGTTATTGATAATGGACACAAACTTGTGGAGCTTTCAGTCGCAACGCTAAAGTTGAATTTTTTTTTAAAATTTAAGTGAGTGCGTTTTTTTACTAATATGGCAATTTAAGAATATTTTTGTAAGAGTTTATCAGTCAACGTGGCATGAACAAAGTAGTTCAATAAGTATAGTAATGTCTCAGTTGTTATCCCGAAAATTTGCGATTGAATCCATTATCAATAACACATTAAAAAAAAAAAACTATTTCAATTCGCATTATATTTTTTCGTCCCGAATGCTACCTGAATTTTATCAAAAACAAAATAATTTCCATGCCTGATGATGACTGGACGGACCGTCGAAAGTACTTGCGTATTTAAGGAAAACCTAATAGTACAGTTTTTCTGATTTTTTTTATCACCATAAAGATAATAGAAAAACAATCTGAAAAATTATTCATTGCTGCTGATTCGAGGCGAACCTGGTTACTAGCATTTTTCCTATAATTTTTTACAATAAAAAGACAACACACAATCATAATCATTTTTCTGATTTTTAATCACCATAATAATACAAATCAGTAAAAATTCATTGCCGCGTATTGGAATTTAACCTAATTAGACATTTAGGCTGCATAAAGGAAAAAAATTAGTTCATGACAGAGTTATATATTTATAATCAAAATAAACAATCTTTTATCACAATCAAGAAGTTATTAAACTTTCTCAAGAAAATAATGTACAGGTGCCATGATTTTTTGGCTGCCTGAGAAATAATACATTGAACAAAGAAAGCTGTAATCTGAGAATAAAATGCAACTCTCAAAGGTTTTCAAAATAATGATTGTTAAGAGACTTAAAGGCAAATCTTTGAAAACAATAATGGGCTGACTAAAATTTCAGCCTATTTGTTCACATGTAAGCTATCGCATTCAGAGTAAAACCAACTGAGAATGCTTGATTGACAATTGACATATTTAAAGTTCATGACAAAAAATGTAAAATATTTTATGGGTATTTTATTTACAGAAAGGTTAATATTTAATTTCTACCATAAAGAATAATATTTCTTTTGACTATTTACTCACTTTAAATTGTTGCCATGTAGCAACTTCTTTTTCATTCTATTTAAAGGAAAATCAGTTTTTCATTGTTACAATAAAAATTCTATCAAAAAATTCAATAAAAATTCTATAAACGTGTTCGAAATAAGCCGTAGTGTCAAAAGGGACGGTTTTTCCCGTAACACCGCTTTTATTTTAACTACCGTCCCATTTCGGCAATGTTTTAAAAAGCGATGATTAGAATCGTAATAAAAAAAAACTATGATGAAATTGAATTTATAGAATTTATAACAAAAATATTAAATACTATTTAGGTAAATTTACTTTTTAAAGCCCGCGTTAAATATCTTTTAAAATGTTCCCAAATCGTCACTATTGTTAGCACACGATATTGCATTTTCTTTTTCAACATTTTCATAGATTTTTTTTTAAATACCAGTAAAATTTTGCGAACACCCCAAAAAATATTTCAAAAAATTTTCTAATTACAGTGTAACCCGGATATAAGAGACCCGGATATAAGAGAGATTTTCTCTGGTCCCAACTTAGAGCCTGTGTTAGACCAAACCCGGATATAAGAGAAACCCGGATATAAGAGACTTCTTCTCCGGGCACGACAACTCTCTTATATCCGGGTTACACTGTAAAATGACATATTCAGCATTATTCATTCATTAAATGAATAAGTAGTGAAAATTTCGTTTAAGTCGGATTTATTGGATTTCTGAAAATTTTTAAAACAGAGGGTAGTGATTTTTTGCTTTTAGTTTGAAAAAAAAAACAACATATCCATCTACAGTGTAACCTGGATATAAGAAGAGAGTTGTCGGGACCGGAGAAGAAGTATCTTATATCCGGGTTTCTCTTATATCCGGGTTTGGTCTCTTTTATATACATTAACACAGGCTCTAATTTGGGACCAGAGAACATCTCTCTTATATCCGGATTTCTTATATCCGGGTTACACTGAACACAACAAATGCGAATGTCAGTGTGTCACTGTGTTACACTTTTTCAACTTCACTCCTAGAGGCCGTAACCGGTCATACCATTTTGGAAGCAAGCCGACTCCATGAGCAAATTAAAAACATTCCAGTCCGGATCCAGACCCCCAAGCCTGAAATTTTGGATTCTCAAGTTTTCATTACTGCGATTGTTAGCGGCGATTTTTTTACGGGATTTTTTTGCGACGAATTTTTTGTACGAAAACAATTTTTATAACTTGGAAATAAATTTCGGAATAATCGAAATTAATTGCGAAATCCAGTGAAAGTCACCCATGAAATAAAAATAATTGTTTTTACGGAAAGTAAGGACCTACGTGTATCAAATTGTCTTTAAATTAAGTGATGGTAGAAGAATTATCGTTGAACATTTAAAACTAAAAGGTAAGCTTAAATTATTAATGCTATACTTAAATGCAGCGATCAGTTTTGAATTCTTCTGTAGTTTATTGTTGCCTATCGCATCTACTCCTCCTTATTGTGATGACGGCCTAATCAAGAGCCCTCGGGAGCTAGCTTAAATGCAGCCTGAATAAGGTACCTAGTTAACTGCTTCTCACCAGTGCAAAATGATATAATGTTGTTCATACATAAAAATGGTACTAGTGTAGCTGTTAGAAAGATTTAAGTGAGATCCAATTAAACAAGAATCTTAAAACAATGTATTAAGATTCAATAAAACCGATATAAATAATTCACAACTAAAATAGAGACCAATGAACTGCTTAATTAATCCGTTCCCTTTATTTTTTTATTTTTTTTAGATATTCACTGTTACTGTTATCTATGATACATTAATTATTCCTGGTATTATACTGTAGTGGTGCTGTAAGTATTGTTGGCTAGGGTCACCGTGAATGTAATAAAGAAGGAAGGCTGTGTTCTTGTAAAACAACACCCCACATCAATAATGCACAACAAACACGAGAGAAAAATAATCAAGCTCAGTGAACATTAATAAAATATTGTATTAACAATGATATACAAATATCAACAATAGTATAAAGAAAGTTGCTTCCCTTTTTCCGTAATAAAAAGGGTAAGTTTAGCTAATAAATGTTGAGTACAATATTGAATGTTATTTAACTACAAAGTTCAATTGAAGTCTTAGCTAAATAAAGAATTTTTAACCATATAATAATTATCAATGTATATTTATTTATATATTTCCGGTGTATTTACTTATATATTTCCTGTCCATCTGGGAGGTAAATCAGCTGAAGTTAGTAGATTTCAAGGTTTTTTAGTGTTTTATCAGTGTAGAAAAATGTAATGTTCATGAGTGATATCAATAGGAATTAGTATGATTACTCGATTGAGTGATAATTAAGAATGAAAATGTCAATATAGCGCCGTGCCTTATTTTCCAAGAATTGAACTGCTACTCACTGTTGGCAAACAGCGAAAGTCTTTATATAATGCTGGTTAAGTTCCAGCGAGCTTGGCGCTAAAAATATAGAAAGATACTAAAATACACGATTGGTCAGGAAATGGACCAATCCGTGATTTTAGAGAAAATTTCAAATTACCTGCGATGGCAAAATTGTCATATGATAAGTATCATATTTTTACGAACCAATGATATTGAAGGAAATGGAGGTGTGGCACATGTAAGTGATCTCCACAATACAAATCGCTTTTGGCTCAATATCTTTTCCTGTTCAAAATTTTGTGTGTTTAATATAACAGTGAAATGGAAATATTTATCGAAAGAAAATGATTAGCAACAGAACAAAAAAGACGGCGACGACAAAGCCTATTTCAAAATCACGTTGAAACAAGACAATCACTTAGACCAAGGTATCTGAGTGTCTCATATGAAAGGCTTGAACAAATAAGACTGCAATCTAAGAAAGGTAGGATTAAGGGAACTGATTAATTAAACAGTTCATTTTACTCGTAAAGTAAATTTGTCTATGCAGGTAAATATTTATTTTAATTTATATAGATTATTAAATCGACTAAGGGAAGTAATCACTAATAAATTTACTAACTTAAGCTGATTTACTTCCCTTGAAATCTACTAACTTCAGCTGATTTACCTCCCAGATGGACAGGAAATATATAAGTAAATACACCGGAAATATATAAATAAATATACATTGATAATTATTATATGGTTTGATAATGTATGTATAAAATAGTATCATTTATATATTGTTAATCACAACAGGTAGCAAAAATATTACTAATTGTACCACTGCACATGAACTTTTTTTAAAATGAAAATTATCAAATGCAAATGTATTGCAATTTAAATATCTTTGAAATTTAAATTGCAAGAAATAGTATAAATTTATTCATGAATATATATATATATATATATATATATATATAATCGACTCTCCCGTCGAGACTTGTCGTATGAGGGTCAAGCAGATCAGTTTCCAGGAAACCGACAGCCCGACAACGGCACATGAGATTTGATTATAGTGGTGAAGGCTTCGTGCAGGACCATCCACACTTTTTGAAGGGACGAATACAAAGACCTGGTGCACCGTGTGCCACAA